TTGTGTCCTTTCTATCACCTGTTTTTTTTTTCTTTGTGTCCTTCTGCTTTTTTCTCTTGCATTCTTTAAAGATCACATTAACTCACAGTTGCAGAATTATTTTTTCTCCTGAATTCCTGATCCAGACCTTTGAATCGATGTTCCCAGATATTATTTTAGCTAAAATGGTTATCACCTTAATCAAATCTCATGTTTTTTTTTAGACCATCCATTGATGTATTTCACCGCTCTGTGTTCCTCTTCTTTCAGATACCTTTTTGTGTTACAGCTAAAGCAAGATATCCTCAGTGGCAAGTATGTGGGATTTCCATACACTATATGAACCAGTTAGATGAAGTAATTTCAGTAGAATCAGATTTGAAATACTTTCCTGTCATTTTGTGGCAACTTGTTTTACTAATCAACTTTCACGGTTAATTTGCATATTCACAATGAGCATCTCTGCCTTATGGTTCGGAAGATTTAAAAAAAAGATGAGCTATTACAGAGTAAAGTTTGAACACCTTTTCAAATCAGGAAATAACGCAATAGCCATGTTTTTTTTTTTTTTTTCATCATTTTCAGCTTTGCATGGTTTGACACTGCAGGTACTTCTTGGAAAAAAATAAAATGTCATGAAAAAGCATACACGCGTGGAAGCATTCATTGAAAAAAAAATTAAATTAAATTAATAGACATCCATAAAACAATTTAGGCCACAACATGAGGAATAAGCAACAAAAGCTCACTGCTAAAGAGGCTGGTTGTTCATGCTGTGCAGTATCCAAGAAAATGTGTTCAAGGTTGGGAAAAAGGAGAACATTTGGTTAGACAAAGAGAACCAGCAACATATGTACAGGAATTTTAGTGATTTTTACAGGGTTTAGATGGAGGATGGAGTCAGCACATCAAGAGCCACACAAAACCTTGGGCTGAGGGGGAAGAGAACTGGACCAAAGTCCTCTTTTCAAATGAAAGTAAAGTTTGCATTCTAAATCAATATCCCAGAGTCTGAAGGGGGGGTGGAGAGGCACACGATTTATGTAGCGTGATGTCATTCCACCATTAATCTGATAAACCATGTCATCTGCTGGTGTTGGTCTCCTGTTGTTTCTGATGTTTACGGCTAACTTAGCCTGACTTAGCCATCTACCAAGATTTTTAGAGTTCTTCAGAGTAGTAGGACTTGGCATCTGCCCACTCTGCTAAAGTTACTAACAGGTTCAATGACCGTGATGTTAGTCTGCTTGATTGGCCAACAAACTGGCCTGAGCTGAACCCAATAGAGAAACTATGTGGAGTGAGAGTTTTACTTAGAAATGAGACGCCAGACCCAAAAATGCAGAGGACCTAACAGAGGAATAACAGCAGAAACTCAGATTATTAACTTCCATGGCGTGCTGGATTGATAGGAGTGCTAAAAATATGAAACATTTTCTTAATATTACATTTCTTTTACCTGAATTATCTTTCTCATTGTAACTCCATAATTTGGCTAGCTGGATAGTGAGTTTGTAATTCTTGTTCCTATGATTTTTTTAATATATCTGGTGCTTATAACTCATGGTATAATATCGACTTGTAAAGTAAATTTTTTTTTTATTCAAATATATTTTACTCTATCATTTTGGAATTTATTCCCACACTAAACCTTTCCTATATCTCTATTTTTAGGCTTGAATGTCCCTTTGACACAGCCGTGGAGTTGGCTGCCTTCTCTTTACAGGGTAAGTATAGCAAAGGTTTCCTTCATTTTCAAATAAATCAAAATAAATCAGTTTGTTGTATCAGAATTGCACAAGACTCCTTGGATTCATATTTGTCAAAATATTAACCTGTAAGCATTCACTGTTGTATCCTAGAGGCTTAATGAACCAATTGTTTTTAGCTGATGCTAACTATTAAAGGGTAAAATAAAAGTGGCATACATGCACATTGTGCAGAACTGCAGGGTTCTCCCATTTGTAAGGTCAGTTCTTCAATGGTGTGAAATACATATATGGGATCTTATGTATACCTAGAGGTCTTAGCAGGTTTCCTGTAGCCAAACCTTTAAAAACAACATCATCGAGCAATCACAGTGTTTCAGGCCATCACGCTGAAATTTCTGTCTGCTTCGTAGAAATTTAGCCTTAGAGGCTCATTTTTTACGCGTGTATGAGGAGGAAAAAGGGTTTTTGAATCAAAAGGGTGGTTTGTTTTGTCGATTAAATTGTTTTTGATTTAAATATGATTCATTTCAATTAATTAGACCCTTTACTAACTTGATTGAAATATTTCCACGACTGATTTTAAACTTTGTAATACTTCACTCTTTTAAAAAACCAATACAAACTGCCATACAAGTGAGGCTGTTTGTAAGGCAACCTTACTTCTAAATTGGGCCACATTGCAGCTGTGGCTTCAGTTTAGCCTGCCAGCATCACTATGTGAATGACTGAATGTAAAACGCTTCGGAGTCCCCTGACTGAACAAAGCGCTATATAAGTGCAGTCCAGTTGGTGTTGGTTAATACATTTATGAGAAAACACTCACAGCAGAAAATATTAATTATAGCATTGTTATTAATAATATCTACAAATTGTAATAGCCTAAAAATATAAATTCTGACTAGTTGCCGTTCCATCTCCTTAGTTGCACCGGTCTCAGTTAGTTTAGTTAAGTTTTGACTCATGGAGATGCTGACCTAACATTATATGTCACCATTATTTTTTGCACCAGGGCACCTTCTAGTAGTAATTTTTTTTATTTTATTTTTTATATTTCAATAAATAGTCTTTCCACCAGAGAAAGGAAAACTTCACGGAAAGTTTAACAGTAGCTCTGTATGACACTGCATTTACTTTAGAAAATATTTGGTACATTTTTTTTATTTTATTTACGTTTTTAATTTTTGTACATTTAGGATTTACGTCGTGATACATGAACATTTAGTTACAGTTTAGTCTGCAGTCTTAGTTACATGAAAGGAGAAAAAAACTAACAATTGAAAGAACTATGAGTAGCTTGGAGGTGGAGGGTTGTTAAATATAGCAGCCACATGAAGAACAGATCTAAAAGATGATTCATATGCAATCCAAGGGGTCCCAATATTCACGAATTTTTTCCGCGTCTTGTTTCAATGTAAACTTTTCCATCATCTAGATGTCATGTATCACATTCATCAAGTCTTCCTTTTGTGGGAGAGTCTGTTGACATTTACTGTTCATTTCTAAGAGGTTCTTTGAACTGGATTACCTTTTCAAATTATTTCTTTAATATAAAACCAGGCTCTAGCTGTTAGAGTCATCCTGATTATTTCAGAAACATTTCATAAAAGTCAGAGTAAGTGGAGGCTTTTATGGAATGGCATTGCGTGCACAATCTGTTGGATGGACGTGCATACACATACATAGCCAGCTCTGGGTAAGGTGCCAGCTCATTAGCGCTCAGTCCTCTTCAGAGGCCCCCTAATCCAACACCCTCTCTGTTTTCTCTCTTTCCCTCACTCTGTTTTTTTTCTCCTTCTATCCTTTTTCACTGGTTCCCCTCTCTGTGCTCTGGCAGTTTGAATGAGTATTTCAAATTTGCTTCTAAATTGGTGGATTATAATTTCGATATAAAAAGCACTTTTGATCCATGTTGTGTTTTTATTACTGTAACTTTTGCCTTCAGTTGTTTTCTGTTAGATTTTATATCTGAAAATATGATTACAAACCGGACCTCAGCCTTTCACCTCAGAGCAGTGGGATGTAGGCTTACCCGAAACTTTGCTTTGATTTATATGTCAAGTCATACGGTACTTTAAAAAACAAATAGTTATGTGTGTTTTAGAAAAGGTTTAGTTAAAACATGATGCCAGCTTTAGAGTCCTTGTGATAATTATGACATTTGTCTATAATTAGAATTAACATAGTTTATTTATTTATTTTTACAGAAAATTGAAATCCATTTTAGACCTTAAGTTGGCGATTGATGTTTGATCCCTCTTTGTAACTCTGTAGAAGCTGCCATTTTCTACACTTAACTTCTTTGCATGGGGGTACTTCCTGGGATCTGCTGGGTTCCCCTCAGTCATTTTAATGTTGCAATGTTAGACTTTAGGTTCAGTTAATTTATTGAGTTTATTATTAATTTAATTAATTGGTTATGATTTGTTCAATTGTGTGAACATAATCCAAGCTTCCTTCTCCAAGGTAAAGTCATTTAGGGTGAGAAACACTTTTTGGCTCAAGTAAAAATATATTTCATTGAACATTGTTTAAATGTATAAAATATTTGCTCAAAACTAGTAAATTTGGATCTTTCCGTAATAAGACTTTACATACTTGATACATTTTAATGCATATTAAGCAGTATAGGAACATTTCAAGGTAGTTTATCTGTTTTGATATTTTTTTTTGTGTGTGTTTAAAGTTTAGAAGGATCTAATTAAAACTCACTAGTGTTTTTTTTTTTTTGTTTTTTTTAAGCTGAACTAGGTGACTGTGACCCACTAGAACATAATCTAGACCTGGTGTCAGAATTCCGGTTTATTCCAGAGCAAACAGAGGAAATGGAGCTCGCTATCTATAATGCATGGAAAGAGTGCCGGTAGGTATTTGGCTGATGAATATTTTTTTTTGTTTGGAGGCCTGTTTAAAAATGTATGAATTAACATTTCTCGATAAATATACCATATTCTTGTGTTTCACAGTGATCCATTTTTTTTCCCTGCTGTGAGTTTGCATGAATTTCTTTGCTTTCCATTTTTCAGAGGTCAGATGCCAGCTCAGGCTGAGATCAACTACCTAAATAAAGCGAAGTGGTTAGAAATGTATGGGGTGGACATGCATATGGTTAAGGTAAATAAGATATAGCTTGTTCATTTGTGAGCATTAAATGTACAGAAAAAACATTGATAGTAATTTTTTCTCTATTTTCTCCCTCTAGGCAAGAGATGGTAATGAGTATAGTCTGGGTTTAACACCCACTGGAGTCCTGGTGTTTGAAGGCCAGACCAAGATCGGGCTTTTCTTCTGGTACGTTGGACTGTTACACAGATATATACTTTTTTCTCTCTTTTTTTCCTGCAAGTCCTGAATCTAATTATTTTCTTTTTTTCCAATTGAAGGCCCAAGATCACTCGTTTGGATTTTAAGAAGAGCAAACTGACGCTTGTGGTGGTGGAGGATGATGACCAGGTGAAAATCACACGCTAATACCTACAAGATGACATCATGTTAAATGCACATTAGTCATGCTTGATAACAAGTGTCAAACTCTCTGTGGTAAACATGCCTGCAGCTGTTTTTTCTCCAGTCACACATGGTCAGATGAGGTGTGTTGCGACAGTAAGACCTGGAAAATTTTTGGTTTCATCTGAGTGTTTCCCTTGTGGAGGAAACAGGAATAACTGGTAACTCTTCCTAACAGCAGAGCTTTTATAGGGTGGGAGAAGGATCTCATTAAGTGAATAAAGCCATGGTTTTCAGCAGATACAGTACAATCATGGTTTTATAAGAACTAAGTGTGTGACTATGTAGACTCCTACAAACCCCACTGAAAAATGTTAGTGTAAAAGTTGTTTAAGTGCTAAACCGGATTTCATTGTTCTCATGTTTTTGAGGCTAAGGAAGAAAAGAAATCGCTGCAGTTGGGATTAAATCCTGCTGTTCTAAGCACAAACTTGTGGTCATTTGACAGTTCTTTGAAGCTGGATTATAATCTCTTCAAAGGCCGAAAAAGATTTTTCACAAACAGAGAAACATGTCGAGTAAAATTTGTTTGATAAAGGTAACATAAAGACTAAGTTTTTTTGTTTTTTTTTTTGGGAAAGGAGTACCGTACATAAAATGAGAATAAAATATTTAAGGTTAACATTTTTCTTTGATGGCTAAATCTACCCGGGTAATCTGTTTTAATCATGTAAATGTGATGTAAACCCAAAGTTATGATGGCTTCCCGAAAAACAAAACAGACAAAAAAAACACCAAAAATACAAGCCCTGGTTACTGTAGTGGAAATGCTAGAAAACCTGAGCTTTACTCCAGAAGGAGGACAGTGTACGAAAATTGTGTTTAACTTATTTTGTGCTTCAAACAAAAAGGTTTCAGCTTTATGATAAAAAAACCTTTTTATCAGTGTTATGCTATAGTGTAGAAACAGTTTCATACTTTGATATTAATCAGAAAATTTTTACCAAATATCTCATGAAACAAACAAAAGGTTTTTCAATTTATTTTACAAATGTTCATCCCCCCAAAAGAAATACTTTTTTTAAGTAAATGTTCAGTTGAAGTTATGTCCGAGTACAATATGTAACAGTGTTAAAAAAAAAAAAAAAAAATACAGTAAAAGAGAGACAAAGAGTCTGTTTATGTCTGTCCAGGAGGTCTTTGAGTGGGGTTAATAAAGAAACCTGCCCCTTCTGGTATTTCTGGTATGCAACACCCCCCCCCCCCTCTCTCCCTATCGTTCTCTCATGCATTCGCACACACACACACACACTTCACATAGAAGTTCAATTTCGGCTTGAAAACCAACTTCTTGTTCAGTTAAACAAGTGAGCAAATTAAGTAAACAATATTGTCCCTCTACCATGCCCTAAATTGAACTGTTTGGCTCGTATTCCTAAGAGGACAAATGCATGCTTTGAGTTTCCTTTTCAGATCAGATTATAACATTGAACATTTATGCCAATGTCTACAAACCATTAGATGTTAAGTAACCAGGGGTTTTTCTATTCAATATTCTGCTTGTCAAGGTTTTTTGGCGATCCGTAAGTATGTTTAAGTCTTTGATTTACTTATTTAGTGTTTTATTGTGTTTGAAAGAGTTGCTGGCATGATGAGTCAGCATTCCAAGCCTGAAATGTGTCTCAGAATTTCTGTCCCAGTTCATCTCTTAACCGTCTTTGCAAGCCATAACCTTTTGTTCAGCTTGTTCACAATGAAAGCAAGTAATGTGCCAGTTATTTCTGCAGAGGGGAACCAAGGACAGAAAAAAACTGCTCTTGTTGGAGGCGCTGTTTGAAATAAAGGAGTATCAGCTGTGCTTGAATAATAATTGTTTAGTATGATCAATTATGTTTTATATTTTTAATTGGCCCCAAAACACTAATATGTACTTGAAAGTACTACAGTGTATAGGAAAAAGAAATAAAAATATTATCTTATTTCTTAATGAGGACATTTTTGTGAATAACTGTTACGGTCTTTGAAGTATATTGAAATTGGGACCTGATTTGCTAAATATCTGTGTGTATAAAAACATGCACAAACCTGTTAGTACTAGCAAAACTGATCCATAAACGGAGTGAAACATAATAATAATAATAATAATAATAATAATAATAATAATAATAATTGAACTTTATTGATCTGCCATTGGAGAAATTTACCTCTGCATTTAACCCATCCCCTTGCAGAGCAGTGTGCTGCCATTGTGCGGCGCCCGGGGAGCATACAGTGCATCTGTAAAATGAACAGTACCGCAGGTGCAATCCATTTAGCTCCTCTAAGATGAACCAAATAACAAAAACATTTGGTCTGGAGTATTTTCTCGTGCAAAATGAAAACCTTTTCTGGAGGATGGAACATGATCATTTGAGCTGCTCTAACTACTGGTTTTTACGATGGCTGAGAAGTGCAAAACACATTTACAATTCAAAAACACATTAACAAATAAAAAACAAAATAACATTTGAAGAAATAAAATTATATTTTATGAAACAAATGTATTTTTGAAAAAAAAAGTTTAATTTTTTAAAAACAAATTCACATTTTAGGAAACAAATTCACATTTTAAATAAGTTAGATTTTTAGGTGAGAGCAGGAGGACTACAGATTGAGCTGTTTGTACTACAAGTCAGGGTAATCGTGACGTCACATCCGGCCACTGGGACATTCCCTTTCCGTGTAGCCGTCTTTTGTTAATTTGTTTTTGGCTATGTAACTATTTTGCCGCTTGCAGTTTTGTCTTTGCACTTGTACAAGGGTTTCTGAACGGTCAATTTTTTTTAGATGTAAATTTGTTCGACTATAATGTATTTTTTTTCTCTAAAATGAAACTTTCCCTCACCTAAAATCTAACTTATTTAAAATGTGAATTTGTTTCCTAAAATGTGAATTTGTTTCCTAAAATGTAAATTTGTTTGCTAAAATGTAAATGTGTTTTTAAAAATTTAAACTTTTTTTTCAAAAATACATTTGTTTCATAAAATATAATTTTGTTTCTTCAAATATTATTTTGTTTTTTATTTGTTAATGTGTTTTTGAATTGTAAATGTGTTTTGCACTTCTCAGCCACCGTAGGTTTTATAAAAAAAAAAAAAAAAAAAACATTCTACTTTAAGATAGTCTTAGAACCTGTTGAAAACTGACAATCCAAAGGTGAACTAAACCTTTGGGACTTTGCTAACAATGAGACAATAACCATTAGAGAGGAGCTTGAGTTGGAATACAAAGACCGCTGAACTCACACTGCACCATTTTGAGTCACCAAAGGCTTTTTAGTGAATGTTATTGTTCTTAAAGCTTTTCTTAAATTCCTACTTAAGCTAGTTGAACTCTTTTTCAGGGTAAAGAGCAGGAGCACACCTTTGTCTTCAGGATGGACCATCCCAAAGCCTGTAAGCATCTTTGGAAGTGTGCAGTGGAGCACCATGCTTTCTTTAGGCTGAGAGGACCAGTACAGAAAAACTCTGCTCGCTCTGGATTCATACGCATGGGCTCACGCTTCAGATACAGGTAACAAATACACAGGAGAAAAAGAGGGGTTGAATCTTAATATTGTGTGTGGGGGTGTTGGTTTGTTTAAAAGTTGTTAAAATTTATCCAAAAAGAGAAAGTTTAGTTTGACTTTCCTTTAGGCAGTTTTGCAATAAGCATGATGCTGCATAACCAGCTTGAGGCAGAAGGTGGTTGAACTTTGTTCTCCAGGTCGATGTGCATCAACTGTTTAGGAACTGGTGTTGGAGAAAAGACACTGAAGTGAACGATTTGGAGCTTTAGACTTTTGATTTTAAATTCAGAGAAATAAAATGCTGTAGGATAGCATATAATACTATTGCTTTCCATCATTTTCTCTGTGGAACAGATTCTATTGTTGGATGTAAATGAAATGATTACACCACTACAGTAGTACTCGGTGTCAACATAATGCAGAGGCCAGCTTGCTCCCCACTGTGTGTTTAAAGTTATCCTGTGAGATAAGCTGTGGTGGTAGTGTTGATTTAACACAGGGGGACACATGGTTTTGTTTTCAGGAAAAGGCTATCGCCTGGATGGTCTCAGAGTTCAGCAAGGTTCACTGCTCTGATAGTTGCAGCAGTGAAAGTACATTTCATCGTGGGTTTAGGATTTGTGGGGTAAGGAAAGACAAAAATAACTTTTGTTGTTTTTTTTTTTTCTTTCTTGACCAGTGGAAAGACAGAGTATCAGACCACCAAGGCCAGCAAAGCAAGGCGATCTGCCTCATTTGAAAGGAGACCAAGTCGACGTTACTCCAGAAGAACCATGCAAAACAGAGGTGACATAACCATAGAAAAATAAAAATCACACGCCTAATTTCACTCATTTCATAAACTCTGATGGAAAAAGGGGAGTTTGATAAACTCCATATTAAACTTGTTTTATTTCTAAAATTTAAGTTCCATTAATAACAGTTTCTTACAGTCTAATAAGTAATTCTGACATTTAAAAGCCCACATTCTCACATTTTTAAGAAGGAAAACCTTCAAACCATTTATGGAGACTCATTGACCCCAACAGACTATTCTTTGGGGTACTGTAATGGAACATTAACTTATTATCTAATAATTAGCTGTAATAGTTAGCTCCTTCTTTACTACAAGCCTGAAGATTCGTTTTACTCAGGTAAAAGGAATCCTGGGATATTGTTTTTCCACCTGTTGCTCTGATTTATGTAAATCAACCTAATTTTATAGGACAGCTGTAAGACAACTGACCTAAAATTCAACAGGTGGCAGTAATGAGAAATCTTATATTCTTTAAAATTGAATTTGTTCATACTGCATGATAAAAAGCAACGGGCATTATTCATTCACTTCCTTCAAAAGACTGTTTGAGTAAAATAAGTGCTCCACTTGGCAAATAACAGTAGATGGTAACCAGCTTTTATATCATCAACTCCTTTCCTAAGTTTGCAATGGATTCATAGAGCAGGATGAATTTAAATATTTGATATTGAATTTTTGCCAGCCTGCATCTGGCAATACTTTATTACTTTAAAATTCTCTTAATAATAATAAAAAATACTAAACACAGATTAACACACTAGATTTATTCAAATCAGATAAGGTTTTTTCAGATGTATGGTTGCAGTTTAGTTGATTTAAAGGTTCTTAAAACAAAACTTTGCTCTCATCTTAATTAAACTGATTATCCTTTTGTAAAAAAAAAAAAAAAAAAAAAAATCCTTTTCTTTCCAGAGTTGGTAATTCTCTGTTCATTTTTCTAAGTCTGCATACATTTTGGGGATCTTCAAATCTAACTGTGTACTTTTCATGTTTAACAGGACAACTCCACCCCCAGGAGTAAGTACAAATAACCATTTTTTGTTTTTTTTTGTTTTAGTATTCTGTTGTAAGCACCCAGTTTTTATTCATTTATACAATAGAGCATTTTATTGTTTTACTGTATTTTAAGTTAATACTGTGTTGTTTATAGGAATACAATGAATTTAAATTTAGAATGTTTAGTTTCCCTCAGGTTACTTTAGCCATGGCCACTTGGCTTTATTTTTAAGGCTCTGGCAGAAGTTAAATTCCCAAATTACAAATTAATTTTTAAATTAACTCATAAAGGATTACAAATAATTTGTGTAACATCAATAATCCTTTTAAGGGTCTAGCTAATACAAGCTGTTGTTACATATGTTTAAGTAAAAGCCTGTTTGGATGAACAATAGTTTATTTTTAGAAAAATTGAGCATCTCTTGGTAATTGTAACTTTAGGCTTTAAGTGTTGCTGTGTTGTTTATGGAAATCCTTTTTTCTGCTCTCAGGGTTCTTTCTTCAGGTAATGGCGTGAGCTCCAACAAAGGAAACAAGGTTAGAAGTGTGAAGCTCACACATTGAGTCCTACATGTTATCTCATTGATAACATGTTTAACATCTCTCGTGTTTTAAGCGTTTGGATTCCTGCATTCTTATTTTTTGTGCCCGAAATTCACCATCTTGTTCTTGTTTGGCGTTTGGTTCAGGTTTCTTCAAGCAGAAGCCCCTGGTCTGGCATGCCCGTGGTGAACCCGCCACCAGCCTCAACCTGTGGGCCAATAGAAATCGAGGCTTTACCCCGAAGTCCTGGCGGAGAAAAACGAGGGTTAGTATCTTGAGAATTTGAGTTTTTATATTTTATCGATGCAAAGGCTGCTGAATGAGTATCTGAAATGTGATATTTGTATATGGGTGAATCCCGATGATGTCAAGAAGGGCATAAAAAAAAAAATTGCCAAGTCTGTGTGCAAGTTGTTGTGACTTGCTGTAGCATCCCCTGAATAAGGGAGCTGAACTCGCTGGCATCTTAAAACAGCAAGTCGCTCACTAATGATGATGAAAACAAAGCCAGATTAGAAATGGTTGGGCCAGACTGGCTGGACCCTGCTGGGCGCTGATGGAATTGGGCAGATAGCTAGGTGTGTTTTCATGGTCTAATTCCATGTGATTGGCTTAGCAGGACTTATCCCCTGACCCTGTCTTGTTGTAGGCAGTAAAAAGGACGGAAAGAGAAAGAGTAAAGCCAGAGAGAAAGTGGATGTTGGTCTTCCTTTTTTTATATATAACCAATTTAAAAATTGGGCAAACTTTCTCATTTTAAAAATGTTGAACGTTTGAAACGTGAAAGGATCTTATCAGGATCTTGTACTTAATATGGTATTGCAGCAATCCAGTTGCAATAAATGCAATGATCCTCATTTGAATTCAAGTATGACCTTATTTATTTATTTATAAATAAATAAATGTATTTATTTATAAATTTATTTTATTTATAAATAAATAAAATAAATCTACACTACGATGAATCACCTTTTTAAGTCTTCTCATTGGTGGATTTTCATGCATTTATAAATGCTATTATAGAGCTTTATTACCCATTTGTCTAAATTTTTCCTTTACTTGCCTTTGTTCTCACCTTCTGTCTCTGGCTACAAGATATAGGTCATTTTGGTTAAGGATTTATTAACCAGTGTTTTTGTGTCAGGAATCCAATGCACATGAGTGACTTTAATTGCCATAAACCTACACTGTTCCCTTGTGTGTTCCAGTATTAACATGTACTGAGGATAAATTGTCCTGGTCTGGAAGCAGGCTGGTAGGTACAACCAAACTCTTTACCTCGGCTCTGGCTTTAACCAATCAGTCGCTGTGCTTTAGCAGGTAGCCTGGTTTTTGGCTCTGGATAAATGTTTTCTTCAGAAGACAAGCAGCAGTTCTTGGTAATGTGCTGTTTGTTCTTCTTTAGAATCAGCATGGATTGCCAACCTGATCGGTGGAGGAAATGTCTGTGATTTGGGAAGCTCTGTTTGGGTCATGTTTTAGGTGCTTGAATCGGGGAGCGGATTTGATTTTTGGCATCTTATCTTCTTTTTATTTAAGGCTTGGGTTTCCTCTAGACCAGGTGTGTCCAAAGTGAGGTCCAGGTTCATTTGTCACCCTGGACTTTTTTTTTGTAATGTCCCCCAGAATTTGGCCCCTAGTGCAGAGGGTCAATGGAGATGGAGTCTTAAGTTAGGGTTTTTATTTGGGCAAAATATTATGGACAAGTTTAGATTTTTAAACTTAAAATGTTTGTACTAAATATTTGTCCTTTATTAAATACATTTTGTATATTTCTTAATTTCTCTTGTGCATCAAATTAACATTTTATTTCACTTATTGAACTCTAATAAATACAAAAAGTTTAGTTTTTTCAGCTGTGCTCAAACTAATTTTCAATCTTTTAATAGGGAATTTTTTAGACATTTTTTGATGAGGCATATGTGTAAATATTTAATAGTTGGCTGCATGATAATTTACAGATCTCCTTTCCTAAAGAATACTGACCACTAGATGACAAGTTTTGCATGCCCACATTTTTGAAAATAAAAATCACAACATAATTTTCTGGTAATTTTACATGTTTGGAACAATATTTTTTTGACCCCCAAATACTTTTGACTAAACATTTTTTTTTACATTTTACCTTTGGACACCTCTGCTCTAGAATGTATTTAATAATTTTTTTCCCCTGGTCGTCTGTCCTGTGCTTCCTGTCCGCATGCTCCTGTCTAAACCTTTTACTAAAACATATCAGAACCTAACCAAACCCATCCAAAGGGAAAGATCTGCAATGACTTCTTAAAATTTAAAATGGTTTCCATTCATAGATTCATTCTTACTTGATGGAGTTTCATATTGATGAGTTCAAAAACCTGCACAGTGCCAGATAGTCATCAGATAAACTGGGTTTTATTCTATAATCCTGCGCTTAAGGCAAACAAAATCTGACAGGAACTCTTGGGGTCTATTTTCAGTAAGAAATTATATTATCAGCTTATTTATAATGTAGGGAACTTTAAGAATCATAAAAAGAAATATTGTTGACAGTGTTGTTTTTATGAACTTCCTATGCCTCCTGGATTATTGGGTTAAAGTTAATATTTCACTTTTGGATACTAGTTTCTTCTTTGTTAAATAAATAATAAACACAGTATTTTGATTATTCAAAGAATTTTGTAAAGGCCAGATTATGTAAAACTAGATTATATTAGATTAGATTAGCTTTATTGATCTCACAGCAGAGAAATTCACTGGTCACATATTGGCATATTAATTAAAGAAGGTGCAAACAAGGAGGAAAAGGTGCATTAAGAATAAACAAGCAAGCACTATATATACAGTATATCAAGATAAGAATAAGAATTAAGGTTAATCAAGGTTATGCTCTCTTTTTGCGAAGACCATATTATGAGAATGTAAAAACGCTGCAAATGATTCAGATTATTATATAGATTCATTACACACAGAGTGAAATATTTTAGGTCTTAATTTCTTGTTTTTTATTATAAAGCATTACAGATAATTAAAAATAAATGACCGTGACTCTGATAATAAGGATATTAACTCGTTATAAAATGGCCATCTGGCTACTTACAGAATCATGGGGAAGACTGCTGACCTAATTGGTGTCCAGAAGACAGTCATTGCACGAGGATGAGCTGCAGAATAATAAAGCTACTGTAAAGAATCTGGTTGTTCACAGAGGGCTGGATCAAAGCATATTCAGAGAACATAGGTTGGAAGGAAAAGCTTATATTTTCCAGCAGACCTTTGGTGCCTTCCCACAATGCCAAAGGTACTAACAGCTGGTTCAATGACTATGGTGTTACTGCGCTTCATTGGCTAGCTGTCTGTCCCTTATTGTCTAATTATATGTTACATCAGATCCAACAATGACCTAAACACCAGCTTCAAAGCAACCAGGGCTTCCATTACACTTCAGAAGAACTACAGGTGGATCCTATCCATTATACAAGCAGCTTATTTATTCTGAACTAGGTCTGACTATACAACATAATAGGGCTGAACGGTTTAACCAAAAATCAAAAATGTGAACATTTGGAACTGATATTGAGGTGGTTTTTCTTTGCACTAAGCACAAACCTGAAGATGTTTCACTTCAAGGATTGTTTTTTTTTAGGACTTTACTGTTACCTTTGTGTGAAAAAGTTCTTATTTCTACCATAATGCATGGATCTGCTCTGTCACTACCTGATCCATGCTATCAGCTCATTTGCGCATACACAACCAGATAGACATCTGGGTCGCCCTCAATTTTACTTTCTGAAAAATAGCCAAAACAATTTTTTTTCTCTCTAACAATAGTTGGCATACTAAACTACACTGTGTAAAAGGTTAATGATTCATCTGGGCAAATAAATGTGCTTAAATAGCTTTGTTTTATCACTCGTCTGTGCCCGATCTGTACCGGAAATAGGATCCTATGTTAAGTCTCTTGATTTACACATATATCTAGTCTTTTTTGTTTTATTTTTACCTTTTGTTTTAGCCTTATGACATTTAGTACAAAAACTAGAGAAAGAAACGACTTAAATTCAGATATGCACGGTGTATTCATATTTTGCTGGACTGCTCCGAGCATGTCCGATGATGACTCAGACAAGCAGTTTAACGGAGAGAATGTAAAAAGCATCAAATTGTCTCAGATAGTAAATATTTTTTATAGCTGTATTTAGCATTCTTTGGTGATTGAAGGATAGAAATAAGTGATTTTAGTACCATATATACATTATTTTATCGTGACCTGAATAAATATCTGCTTACACATGTGCAAAAGAGCTGATGGTACAGATCAGTTAGTGACCTGCATGCTAGTGTAGCTCCAACTTCCCCTCCCATCTGTGTGGCTGTAAACCCACTTTAAGTGCATTACTGCCACCTAAAGGGCTGGAGGGAGAAATTTAGCGTTTATCTTGTTAAATATAATATGACAAACTGAGTGTCTCTGCAATTTGAAAATAGTTTTGTTAAATTTTGATTAGAAACTGAATTTATTGCCCATCTCTACCATATAACAGTTGTCAGTATTTGATTTGACCTTCTTCTTTAGAGATCTCCAACTCCAGTCCTCTAGTGCTGCTGTGCTTCAGCTTTTAGACGCACCAACACAATCTAAATCAAATGGGTGTATTACTGTACCTCCTCTGCATGTCATCCACCCACTTTTTTATACTGACTAAAGTAATTAACATGAGACCTAAAAAAAATCTGATTAAACAAAATACAAGGCAAACAAATTTCTGATCGTTTATTTATTTTGATTGTATAACCATTTCCTTTGGAGTTATTAAAAAAAAATGGCTATAGTCATCTAATTTAAAAAGCTCACTTGTATAGAAGGTTTTTTCTAGTGTATGACGGGCTTAAATAAAGCCCATACTGTTGATTAGAATTTATCTATTTGCTTTAACGTACACTTATGAGAATATGAAGGTCATTGAAAGATAATCAAAGAAGCGTCTTGTCATCAGTTACTGCTTGACCAGCATCCTTTTAAACTTAATGTTCGCCTTTAATCACTTTGTGAATGAAGACCCAGTTATAATAGATGTGACTTCTGGTATCATTAACCACATAATTCCGAGTTTACATCATTCTTTCCACCCATGGAGGAACAAAGAACTTGGCTTTTGTTTCTAAATAATGTGCTGGGAAGCTAAGTCTTTTTAGGATCCATAAAAATAAACCATTTATGTCAGTACAGCACAATGCAGCACAGTTAGAAAGTATAGTGTTCATTTTTTATTGGACATTTTATATCATTAATCATCACAAGTCATCATCGCTTAATATTTCTCAACCTGTAAGGCTCCTCAAATCCTAAATAAAGCAAATTCAGGAGCCTGGATGTCTGATTTCAAAATTAAATTGAGCTGCAGGGAGTTTGAAGTTTCTTTTTGATATGATTATACCCATTTGATTGGAAATAAATATGACGCTCAAACACATTGTTCACCAAAACTCAGGTTTAAATTCAAAGTAACAATGTTGTGCATAAAATAATGAGCTGAGGATGTTTGGTAGAGATGGATCATTAGGATTAAAATAGTTTTTGGTATCATAGAATAAGACCTAATCTTTGGCTAAACTCCAATAAAAAGTACCAAACATTATTTTGTTTTTTGTTGCATTCAAAAATCTAAAAAAGTGGGATTTTTCAGTCTCCTTTGGTCTCTGTGGGATGAAAACTATTCAACACAGTTAACCACTTAGATCTGATTAGGGAAAATCTGAGCACTGCAGTCAGTTTCAGTTTCCTGTATAGCTGGGCCAAATTATTGATAAGCAGTTCATAATTATATTAAAACATGGAATAACAACATAATTTTAATATTATATAGATTTTTTATGAAGTTTGAGTAGAATTTAAACATTTGGCTTGCTTAAAATCTTTTAATTATTTCATTTTTTTTGTTAGTTCATGGTTTCTTGTTATTGCACCATCAAATCATTAACGACCATTTAAACTATGACTGTAGTCCATTCAATAGACTTTAGATTAGACGGTGGGTAATTATTGATGGGTGAAACCAACAGAAAGTTGTGTAATTTCTATAATATCACATAACTGACTGAGGGCATGCCATCTAACATTTAATACAATTTAATTAATTTAGTTTATTTCTATAGCTCCAGTTCACAACACATGTCATCTCAAGGCACTTTACAGAGACAATTCAACCAGATCATACAGTAAGAGTGATTCAAAGTTTTCCATTTAGGGAAAACTAGCTGATTACATTGACTAGAAGGCAGTCCCTCACACCACGCATGCTTGTAGCAACAGTGGAGAGGAAAACTCTGTTTAAACAGGAAGAAACCTCCAATAGAACCTTGCTTTTTCTGAGGCTGACTGGGGTTGAAGGAGACAGAAGCAGATATGAAAAAAAAAAGGAAATTTAGGAGAAAGGAAGCTGTTACTCCAGGTTCACAGCTTATTTGCTATGTTTATACTGCTAGAAATATGTCATTGTTGTTTAACACGCATGCAAAAAGGTGTTATTTTTGAATAAGGGGAAAATATTACCAAAAAATTTAAAAGCAATTTAACACTCTTCTGATCATTTTCGGCTTCTCTCTTAATTTTTTCCTCTCTCCCTGATTTTTCCGTCGTTGCTAACCCTCAGACCACTGTCACTCACTCATTGTATATTTTTTTTATATTCACTCCCTTTTTTTTTTTTTGTTCCCTTGTCCTTCACCGCTTCTTTCCACATGTTTTGTCAGGTCTCCATCTCCCTCCGTTCATCCTTCCCTCCAAACATCCACCCATCCCTCCTGCCTCTGTTTCATCAAAACACAAAACCAGGAGCTGGACTCACGCAGCCAACTGAGAACACTCTGTTTGCATTCTGATGACTTTCTAACCCACTTAAAGACGAAAGTGGCCCTGCGTCGAAGCGACTTTCCATCTAAAAAGTTGCTTGTATTTATGAAGGAGCCTTTTTGGTGACACTGCATATAAGGACTGATGGGGTGAAACATTGACTTCCCTCCATGTCCTAATGGCTCAATCCGTCTTCAACCTTCTTTTCTTTAAATGTGGCAGTTTCGATTCTGTCATTTCCCTTTCTGATATCTTTCCCTCTCCTACTTCCCTAAGTTTCCTTCTTTCATTTCCACAACCTTTCTTCCCGACCTCATGATGAAATCATCATGCTGGAGTCTGATGGTATCAATGTGAGGCTCAGGAATTTTATTTCAGTCCCGACTGTCTGGGAAACAAATATCAGACAGTCCCTAACTGTGTTTGGCAACCTTTTCTATTTCATTGTCAGTTTTTTATTCTTTAATTAAAACCTAACATGCAGTAGTTAGAGTTTTATTTCCAGAAAGTGTTTTTTTTTTCCTAACTCTTGTCATTTTTAGTTGTTCCTGCATTTCATTGCATCTGTTTTGTTGTAATCGGGAGTCAGATTAGAGGTCATTACTTTCCTCTCATCTGTGTGCAACAAAGCCACATTCCCTCTGTCAGAGGTACATTCCAGAAATTCCCAACGCGGTCCATATCCTCACTGATAGAAATGCAGGAAGATGTTTATCTTCTGCCTGACTGTCCTTCCAGTGTTAAGCCTGGACGACATGCCTTCTTCTAAGATAAAGTGCCTTCTCATCCAACTTATGCCACAATGCAATTTATATTTATTCCACTGAATCATATGTTAATGCAAATTACCTTGTCTTAGTGCAATTTATTTGCAAAAAATAACCTTGGTAGGAAAAAAATTTTTATTTAAGGGTTTCACAATATGTCTGATTATTTGTTGCACAAAAAAAATGAAGGTAATTTAGCAATATTGGTACGAAGAACTGTTTTCATTACTGCGACCAAATTTTCTGTCTTTTTACTGATTTAAAATAATTTCAAAGAATAAAAAATGTATTCAAACAGATTTTTTCTTGACTTCATAGAGGTGCATTTTTATTTTTATTTTTTGGATTAATGAATATCTTGAAGTGCTTGAAGTTGTTCCTTTTGTTGTGAAATTAGCTTTTTTTCTTTGCAGCAGAAAGTAGGATGTCACCCTCACAACCATCAGCGTTTCTTTATTTTATTTTTATAAAATTTTTGGCATTTTGTGACAGACCAACTTAAACTAGTGTTCAACTGTAAATGGGAAATGGAAGGATAAATGGTTTTCTACAGTTTTGATAAAGTGAGAATTAGGACGAGGGTTTTTATTCATCCCCCTTAGTTCAGTTAACTGCCATCAGAGCTGGAAAACTTTTTAAGTATCTCGACGCGCTGGGCGCACCTAGACATTGAAATTACCCTGTTCCAATTTGCAAAAAAAAAAGCCAAAGGAAAGTTCAAAAACTCCAAAGTGCTTCACATTTGGTCGTTCGCCATTTCATACAGTAGTAGCCATTCAGGATTTCCCCACTTCCCTTCATGGGCCCTTGGCTGGTCCCCTACAATTCCTTTTTAAACATCAATCTTTGTACTAGAATATTCTTTCTGTCATGATTTGTGGACATAAAGTACTGAAGAGAAACGTTATCTCCTGGTCAGACCCTGTAATTCAGTGAAAGGATGGATTCAGAATAAAAAAATATGCACACCCAGGAGAAGGCTAGTTGCTGTAGTTTGGAGGGGATTTTGCTGGGAGTTGCAGGCAAATGGGCTGACATTTGGCTGCCGTTTGACAAGGAAGGGCCATTTTGAATGGGTGCTACTGTACAGTGACAGTGGTTGGTGTAGAGATGTCTCTCACCCAATAACATAAGTGAGACAGACAGAGTGGGACCAAACTAGCAAACCCACTGCCTACAGTAAAGGCCCATACCTCCTGAGCCACAGTCTGGAGATCATCAGGTGTGTATCAGCTAAATGAATCAAATATCCAATTATATTCAGATCCGGACCGACAGACTCTATCACATGTGCTAGCTTGGATCTTAAGCATGTGGTCGTACCTCTTGCTCTATGGTTGCTTTCATCCAGCTGGCAGATGAAGCTCCATTCAGACTCAGGTCCTTCCATGATTGGCCTCTTAAACTCCTCCTGCTCCTCATCACCTCTGACCTACTTTCCTGTTTTTGCTACACCCCCGTAGAATAACACTTCTACCACCATGTTTGACAGTGGGGATGGTCTATTAAGGTGATGTATGGTCTCTTTAATGAGAGCACTTTCTAGCATGTGGGTTTTCTTATGACAGTCTATAGAGCTGCTAGCCACTCCTTCTGTTACCGGTAAGTCTGATATGTGGAGCCATAGATCCCTAAAAACCTGTTTTATTCAAGAATGCGAGAAGAAAAATAAGAGGGTTATAGATCAAGGCTACACTGAACATTTGTGGCCAAATTAGGTGTAAAACCATGAATCATTTAATTTCACAAAATATCCCAGTAAAACCTGGGGTTAGTGCATGATGACATGGGTTGGTAATACTTATAAAAGGAACTATGTTCTGTTTCATTTCGCTTATTTTTTTTCCTTTTGAAGATAAAAACATCCTTATTGTTATCTTTTTATTTTTCACATAGATCTTTGTCTGCTGTTGGAGTATTTCTACATACACGATGCATTTGTTATCCTTTGACTCCTGTCCTCTCTGGACACGGCACAGTAATATGTTTCATAGTCTAAGTTTTATCTCCAGGCAACAGGAATATAAGGTAGATGCCAGAAACAAAATCTGTGTATTAAATGTTTTGCTTCAAGCTTCTATAATTCAGGGAATATTGCTTCATTTTTTTCCCCTCTCAGAAGTTATTGCTTGACTTAAATGTCTTTATCCACACAGCGACTTAGGTTCCTCACATGGTTTTTGCAGGAGCTTAATACTATGCTTCCAGTATTGTTTTGGGAATTTCATGTTTGGGGATGTTGCGGTCATTTTTGCATGTAAAGTTTTTTTTTAATAATTGGAGCAGTTTCGCCATCACTGCTGAGTTTATTGTGGATAACAGAGGTAAGCATTTTGATTTTTGGGTTATTTTCTTGTCAGAAATTAGTTTTTGTCCTTAAGTTATTGATTGAAAAAGAAAAATATATGGCATGTCCTTTAGATCTTCCCCCTTTCTTTCCCTGTCCTTGTATCTGCAGCTTGCCGGTCAGTCCTGATCTGATGGAGACTAGCATCGACGATGTCCTTAGAGCACCCGCTGTTCCTAGCATCTCAGCGGCAGAAGAGGTCAGACCGTGTGCTGCTTATGCTGCTGCTAGTCTACCAGCTGAAGACCCACTCAGCCTCGCTGGTAAGACTTGAAAAGCTGTTCTCCAAACTGGACTTGGTCTCCAAATATATGAATGTCCTATGAAGACAAATTTGTTTTAGTCAGAAGGTGTTTATTACTACAATAACAGTGTTTTTTTTACCTTTACTTTGGGTTTTTTGCCTTTTTTTTTTTCGTTAAAGTGCATATGAAGGCAGTTTATCCTCAGCATCAAGCAAGAGCAGGCCACATTAAAAAAACAATAAAGTGTAGAAAGCACATAGCAGAAAAAGACTGGTTAATATTCACAAACACACATAAACAAAGAAGGATTCATATTTTAAAGAATGATTTTAAACTAAAAACTGCATATTTGCGGCATATATATTAGTGCTCTAAACTGCGATAACAATAGGTTTTTTGCACCATGTTTTTTTTTTTTCCTCCCACGATGTTTACATCTGATCACTGCTGCACTTTATAGAATGGAAATGTTCATTTACTGTCTGAAAAGCTGTACTGAGTGAAGTTTATACAAAATCTCTGTGTATACAAAATGACAATAAATGTAGTCTAAGTCTAATATATATATATATATATATATATTTCTATAGTATTTGTTCTCCTTGTTTTGATGTTTTGAAAGTTCTTTATTATTAAGTAAATGACATCTAATATTATTTTTTTGCTGTTATCTCTTCAGAAGCAGCAGCTCGTTTAAAGCAGCTGGAGTTGGAGAGCATTCCACCCCCTGTTACTCCAAGAAATAATATCAACGTTAATGTGGCCATGAACAACCAGGTGAAGCTCCAGACCTGCTAATGCTAAGTCATTTTGAGACTTCTGTGATCTGAGATCTGATTCCCATTTTTCTAGGACAATGTGGTGAAGCTCATAGAGAAATGTGGCCTGAACAGTGCAGGAAATAGCCCGGTCGTCACTCCGCTGCGCATCCCAGAGGATCTCAAGAGCAACATCCTGAAAGCTCAAGTGGAAGCTGCTGTACTGAAGGTGCGAAGGAGAATTCAGGGGAGTTGATAAGATGGAAACGGAAAGCATTAAAGATCATTATATTGGCTGTGGGACAACTTAATTCAGCTGACCCAGTAGTAACAGAACCCGACTGTGTCCAAACCAGAAAAGGTTTTGCAGTTAGTTGGTGTTCAGATGTAGACCAACCTTTGTCAAACCTTAGCCTGTTAATAAGATGATCCATTCTGCTTTTTACTAAACATGAATGAAGTTTGTCAAAAAAAAAAAGGTACATTTTCTGATAAAGTATCCGGAACCAATGTCTGTCAAAAATTCAGCATTTTTTTTTCTCTCAAAGTGTTTTTAAAGATTTTTAAGAAAAAAAAAAATGCCCTAACTTGTCAAACTGATTAAATTGACTTGTTTTATTACAGCCTTCCTTAGCTTATACACACTGGATGATGTCATCTATAAAAACAAAGAAAACTTGAATGTATTTCCTAAATGTTTAAAGTTTTTAACATGAGTTAGAGCTCAAATAAATCCTTCCCCCCCTGAATTGTTCTGTGTGAGGAATCTTTAATCTTAATTTAATTATTTAGATATTTCAGTAGGGTTTTGACACAAAGTGCTGTGCATGATTAAGATTTGACAAGACGACAGTCAGAGGGTTACTCGTGAGGCAGCAATAGAGAGAGAGCCGCCATAGTTTTTTTTTATACTGCAGAAGTTCTCCTTAGAGTCAGACATGTTGTCTGTCTGCTGTTTTCCTGAGTAAATCTATTAACCCTGCGCCTCAGGGGTCGTGTTAACAGAGCATTTTCATTTTTTTTTTTACTTTTTTTTTTTTTTTTGAAGATGATGAAAAAATCTAAAAGCCATCAGATGGTAATTCATAACCTTACTACGTGGTGGCATAAATATATATATATATATTTAAATGTATTTATTTTTCCCCAGCTTTTTTGTCATTACACTGTCACAGGTACAGAACAACAAAATTAACTCACTACATGTAACCCATCCCCTTGGGGAACAGTAGGCTTCCATTGTGCGGCGCCTGGGGAGCAGTGTGGGGTTAAGGGTCTTGCTCAGAGACCCAGAGTGGCAGTCTATGGGAGTGGAGCTCAAACTCAGAACCTCATGATTCCAGGCTCTAACCCTAATCACTAGGCCCCCACATAATAATAATTACTCCCGTTGAAGCAAACCCTTTCTGGTCAGGAAACCCCTCATCTTACCAACTTCTGCTCACCTCCTCTCGTGAAATTTACCCAGAAGCGATGCTTGTAATTTCAGTGTCATGGATTCAGTCTCCACAACTTAAAAAAATGTTATTACAGAGAAGTAGGTGTGCAAATTAACTCCATGCGGAGCAGTAGGAAGCTCTGAGACTCTGTTTTTCCTCCCACAGTGAAAAAGCTGCATGCATTGATGTGGTTGGTGTGGATTCTCTGTTCAGTTTGTCGGGACTGGATTTCAGTAAAAATTAATGAAGATAAATGCTTTAGCTAATTATAATTATGATAATTAAAAATAAAATAAGCTGACAAGAGAAAATAGATTATGATGGGCTTTTTTTACATTTTCAGTCAAAATGACAGGCAGTGAAGCAGTTCGAGCACAAACTCTTATGTACCTATACTACTTCCATTTTTCCATTTGCCCTGTTTAATCACCTTTAATAAGTAGATCTCTATATGTACAGGCAAAAAAGTGCATGTAAAATTGTTTCAGTTTTGGAAAAATGTAGTACTTTAATGAATTATAAAAAAAACAACAAAAAAAACAAAAATGAGTTGATTGATTTGACCTGGAAGACCACTGTTGTTAGTGAGTGTCCTCATTCTTTCATTGCTTTTATTAATGTTCATCCGTGTTTTCTATGCAGGGACACCTGGAGGAACCTGTTATCATGGCTGCTGACAAGAACTGTAACTTACAGGAGGCCTCTGCAAAGTATGTGTTTCATTAAAGACACAATGAGGACGTTTTTCACCACTTCAGATAAGAACATTATCAGAAAACATGAAAGTATTCTAAAAATGTGCTGAATGATTAACAGATGCAGCAGAATACTACTGCTATTTTGGACTGTAAGAAGAGCTTTATAGAAAAGTGCATTTTTACTCTTAAAATTTACAGATGTGTTTTGAAAACTTAAAAAAAAAGAGATGTCCACCCTTAATTCAGGGGGTTGTCTTTTAGAAGAAATATGGGTTTTCCTATAAATTGGAGATCTCCTACTAATTTGGTTCAGCCGGTTCAAGCGGAGGTGACTTTCTGACAACTAAAACCTGATGTTTTAATATTTAATGTTAAGCTTTTTTCCAAGATCTGATATACAGATAGGCAAAATAATACACAAAGCTTCACAGTAAATTCTCATTTGTAGATGGCCTCAACTTTTTCTCTGTTTAATTATCTTGAGGACACTACTTATACCACTCCCATTTTTTTTTATCATGTCTTAATAAAAAATACAATATGAAGACTAACCTTTCATATAACGGCAAAACACAATGGAAATTAATACACTTTGAGACAGTTAACTATATTATCTCATTCATAATGTCATCATCATACGTTTAAACCTTAGTGTTGAAAGTCAGGTAAAGGGAGGCGGTTGTAGAAGAACTACTAACAGCTCTGTGGTTGTTGCAGTGAAGCGAAAGCTACTGATATCTGAATGCAAAACATCTTTTTTTCAGATGGCTTAGATACATAGCAAACATGTTTTTCTCATCAAACCAGTACTGTCTTGTGGAATGTGTAAACTGAGCTCATAATGTAATTTAAGTACATCAATGTTAGTGAAGACATGGGCTGATTAGAAAGAAGTAGAAACTTCCTTCTGAAGGTGTAGAGCTTTCTTTGTATATAAAAATTCTGGCTTGTGTTATTTGTTTCTGTAGTTTTGGTCTTTGATTGAAGCTCCTACTCTCCTTTATTCTTTCGAGTCAGATGCTGAGTCATTCACCGCATTCTCAGCCAATCTCCACATTTTTGTTACTAGAACAGATTAACCTCCTAAATATTCATGAAGATTCCCGGTAAAGCTCACAGATTTATGCCAAGCTCAGTTCACACTCCTAAAACTTCTCATTTGGACTCTTAGAATCAGAAACTAAAAAGGTTTCTCTCATATTGTGGAAAGTTTTCCTTTGGTGTGTTCTGAAATGTACAAACTGATTAGGAAACCAGCTGTGTGTGTGTGTTATAGGTATAGGTATTAGTTATTCATTTTGGCCTTTGTAAGTTAATAAATTACAGATATAAGTTAAAGACGATATTTATACTGTATGTTTGCCAACATACTATTGGAAAAATTATCTTATTTGATGTTTAATTGACTATTTTAGATGTTTTTTAAACAATGTGTTATATTTCCTTACAGGAGTAAAGGGAGTTATAAAACATTTTTGTTGTTTCTTTTGGTTAAAACACCAAAACTTGCCACACAGCGCGGCTCACTGCAACAATGGTGTTTGTCTGTTTGCCAGGTTGAAGGTGCGTGCGGGCCGAATGGGAAGTAACTCGTCTCTTTCTGTCAGCAGCCAACCGGACCCCCAAGACTCCTGGGAGCTGCTGAAGCCAGCCTCTCTGGTCTCGTCTGCAGCAGCCAGGTCTGTATGTTTGTCTCTGAGAAGTTGGTTTGGGTTTCATTTCTTTGAGGTTTTTCTATTTCTCGTTCTCAGTGTAGCCGCCGTTACATTTGCTCTGTAGGTAGAGGGAACATGTAAGAACAGGGAGAACGGAGGAGCCAAACAAGCAGCCTCAGAGGATGTCTGCTTTAGCTTTGTGTTGGATCACTGATTAGTGTTTAAGCTCGAAACAATTAACTTGATTCAAATAATTAGTATTTCCCACTTCTGTTTCTAAATCACCCAACCAGCCATCTTTCATTTTTTTAAGCATGTCTCATCAGTTTTACCATCCATTTATTCATTGGTCTATCTATCCATCCCTTCATCCATTTCACCATCTGTCCATATGCTGTTTTTCCATTTCATGCTTTCTTCCATCTGTTTTTTTGTCAACCCATCCATCTAATAAATTATCCATTCTGGACTCTATTCAGATTAACAGAAAAAATGAGTCAATTTTGATTTGAAATCCTTAGAGGCTTCAATAAAAACATCACTCCAAAAGGAGTTGAAAGCACGCCAGAGACTGGTCAGGAATGAATAGCTGATGATTTCCTTTTGAAATAAAAAAATCCATTTTTTTTTTTTTGCATTTGTACCAAATAATGTTTTTTTAAAACTCATCAGAGCCAAACAACATCCCAGCCTTAATCCACAATCTTGTCTGCAGTCTGTGCTGACACCTGCTGGTTTGTTTCAGTACTGCTCTTGTTTGTCATTTGATTTCTGCCCGGATACTGCTGGCGGAGCGAAAGAACAGACGCATGCATGCTCGATCATTCAGTCTCCAAATGGTGCAGTTTAACCTCCAGCCTGTTTACCTGGATTCATTTTGAGAGTTTAATTAAATATAAACAACTCTGTCAATTATGTCAGTGTAGTTGCTATTGTTAGCATGTGAGATTTGTTTCCTAATTGCTCCTGAAATCTTAGAATATTCACAGTGAGGTTTACCTTTCCAACCTCTTGTTTCCTTCTTCAGTGCTGAGAGGTTGGCAGAGGACTTGATTCCCACTGTTCCCAAGATTCCCACCGTCATTGAAGGCTTGGCACCAAAGGTAACTTGATCTCATTTAAAATCCTGTCAATCTAACACCTGAAAACAGCTCTTAGCTTTCAATTATTGACATTTCTGTTAAAAGCAGGAAAGAAATTTTTCTTTCACTGTATCATTTCTGAAGTATGAACATTGAAATAAACCATCTGAAACCAGGGGGACATTTATTAGTTTCTCTTATTATTTCCAAATGGGAAAAACAATAAAACATTTCCTTCAGGAAGATGTGTTTTGACCTTTAAAATCGGGAAATAACTGCAAGAAAATAACAACCAAAATTTGTCTAAAACTATACTCAGAAATAATTTTGTACCTTAACAGCTAAAACTGTGACAAACACTGCTAAACAGGAACTTTGTTTATTTTGTCACCACATTGAGGTGCCGTTAAATTATACTGCTTTATTACATACGCCTTTTTATCTTTTTCTTTAGTCTATTAAATAAAAAGATCAAATGAAATCTGATAGGATTATAAAGCAGGTTATAGACGTGTCTGTTTGATGTTCTGGTAAAGTGTTTGTTGTTTCCATGCAGGTTAAAGCGGAGGAGATTGAAATCCAAAATGTTGCTGTGATGTCTGACAACCTGATTGACTTTACTGAGCCGATCCCTCAAGTAAGTGTCAATGTTTAGTTTTTTTCCTGTGTTTCATAAGCAGTTTTTTTTCTTTGAGGATGGCGGCACAGAGCAGGCATCTATGAGTCCAACTTATTTTAGCTCGACCTAATATGAATTGTTGTTTTCCAGCTGCCACCAGTGCAGCCTCCCAAACCCCTGATCACACCTCGCTGGATCATTCCTGCTGCAGCCGTGAGTTCATAGTTTGGATAAGAAGAAGTTTTATTTGTGTAGATTTATCGTTGTGCATTCTAGCTGTTGTCGATGTCACATAACGGCCGACCCGTCTGCTTCTCCTCTTCTGATGCAGCCTCCTGGCATCTTTACTAATGGGCTTCTTGACATTGAACCCTCCTCTAAGGTGGTTCCTCTCCTTCCCTCTGCTGATGGGGGGGCAGTGCTCGCTTCAGCCCCGGTCCACCTCACTCATCCACGTAACCCTGTTACTGCCAGGTAAATAATGGAAATACAAAAAGCCTCCCTAAAAATATATATATTTTAAGAACATATGAGTAAAAACAGACAATCCTATGTAGTGAATCTTTACTTACAAAACGTAAAAAAAAAAAATGTTCATTGTTCATTAAGAAGTGCAGATTGGGTTTTTACCTGGTTTCTTTTAAGAGGCTTCACTGCTCATCCTGAGGACTTCTTTTTTAAAATAAAAGCCTTTTGGATGAAGTGAAACAGAAGCAGGAAGAGTTGTCCAGTTGGCAATACAACCAAATAACACGTCACTGTTGGTTGAACAAGTAAGGATCTGCTTTATTCTATGTAGGAAAATCAGAAGAATAAGAATCATTTTGTCTTTATAACTCAGTTCAAACTAGATAGTGAAGCTCAGCATGAAACTGAGCTTTACTTGTTTGGCTGTGACGCCATCCTGGAGAGAAATATCAGCTGTGCTGCTGCCATCAACACCTTTGTTTATAGATGTTGGAGCTCAGCCTGTTTTTCAGTGTCCTGTTTCTCTGATTGTGACTGGCTGGATGTGCTCTCTTCATCCTCGGACATGGGAGCTGGCTCGGAGCTCGTCTGCCTGGCTGTGTGTTTCCTTGATGGAAACAAATGCTTTTTGTATCTCTGTTTCTGTCTCCTTGAACCCCAGTCGGCCTCAGCAGATGGCCGCTCACACTGAGAATGCTTCTGCTGGAGGTTTCTTCCTGTTAAAAGGGAGTTTTTCCTCTCCACTGTCGCTACAAGCATGCTTAGTGTCAGGGATTGCTTCAGAGTCAATGAGTCGATGCAATCAACTGGTTTTCCTTAGATAGAAATCTTTGAATTAATTTGACTGTAAGATCTGGTGAACTGTAAAGTCCCTTGAGATGACATGTTGTGAATTGGAGCTATAGAAATAAACGGAATTGAATTGAATTTAACTGCCTTCTGTTCTGTGAAGCTTCTGCTGCGTGTCTAATGTAGCTCTATTACTGATCTGAAGTTGCGTTTCCTTACAGCTCTGCTGTTCAGCCGCCGGTCATGGAGGACGGCGCCAAACCCAGGGGCCTCCTAACCACCGAGCTCTGATGAAGAAACTGTTCCTCCTGACTGTTCTCCCACAAACTGTGGCAGCTTCAAAGCAGAACGTTCACACGAACTACGATCTCTTTAACATTAGGATGAATAATATGTTTTTGGTAAAGCAGACAGCTTCAGCATTATCATCTCAAAGGCAGCCTGCCACTTACCTGAATCCATCCAAACTGATAAGATCTCCCCATGGAAATCACCATCTTTAACGAGAGATAATAAGGTGGAGCTTGAACCTGGATCGGAGGTGAAGAGACTGTAAAAAGAACTCTGTTATGATTGAGAACGAGCTTCAGTATTGGTGAAGTAGCTGTGAAGTTTGGGACCACTGGATCTCTGAGCTGCTGCAGACAATGAATGAAGGACTGATCTGAACCTCGAATGTTGACTCTTCAGTACTGTAGCACATCACTTTTTTTTTTTTAACTAGGCAACATGGGCGTTTATTTGTTGCAGCCACTGGATACAAGAGCTTCACTGGATTTTCTTTCCAACACTGGATTTTTCAAAGGAATTTGAGGAAATGGTTTTACATGACTTTTACTGTGTTGTTGCTCATTTTTTATGTGAAATGCCCATTGCAGGTTAATTCAGTAGCATCAGAAAAAAATTAGCTCTGCATCTCTTTTGATCCAGTTTAGTAAGCTTTTTCTTAACCACTTGTTTTAAGTTGTGTTTTTTTATAATTAAAATTTCCTTCCCTAAATTTTAATTCACAATTTTTATATTTGTATGTAATCAGGCACATTTATTTAGCTTGAAAATCAGGCATTTAAACTCCAAAAGCTGTAGACAAGCTGTGACGATGGGACTCTGTGGCCCCGACCTCTGTCTTATAACGTGTTGTAGCTTCGCTCATGCCTTAAATGAAATGAATGTACCCGACACACGTCATCTAATGCTGGAAATACCACAGTTTCTGACTGATGCTCTATAGATTCACAACAGCTGAGGTAATCTCTGACGGGGAAAAGAAATGTGGGAAAAACTTCAAGGCAGATTTTGTACACGGTGAAAGTTGGTTTTCTTTTTAGGGGTGTAGCGGTCCATACATCACAGTTTTTGTTTTGGTTTCAACTGCAAAAAAGGAATAGAAAATGATCTTCACTTCAGTGCAGCTGGAAACGGCTTTTATGGCAACAGGGAGAGAAAAACTAACCTCACTTACAAAAGATTATTTTGCAATGTACAGTAAAGCAGGATTTTTAAATTGATGGATTCACTTTTTAAACTATAACTTTTTTCTTTTTTCATCATCGTTCAAATTAAACTGCCCTAAAATGCAACCATGTTTTATTAGCTGGATTTCTGCACTCTCTATGAAAGTAGATATTAAATTAAATCTCATCTTTTCTCATCTAGTAATTATAGGTTTCTTCTTATTTCTCTCAAGGTTGTGATTTATTAGCAAATTTGTGGTATTTAGAAATATCTTTAAATTTCACTTTCTGTCTTTTATACGATACATCACAACTTGAAATTGATCTGTAAGTTTTCTATGAACCTCATTGGCCTTTTTATCATTAGAGTTTTGACTTAAAACCTGCTAATAAACACATTATCATTTAAAAAGTCTATTTGAGCCCATTTGCTGCAGAGTTCTAGATTTGAATATAAACCTGTGTTTAGATGTCAAAGAATTAAAGCTCGAGGTTAATGAAGGCATTCAAAAAGAAGAAACATCAAATATCCTTAAAAAAAAGGCACTTTGTAAAATAGCTGTTTATTGAAAGTGCATTTGTACAGATTGTGCAGGTCTAATTTTAAGGCATTATGAAATCAAGTTATTTCAAACATTTTTTTTTTTTCAGTTTGATTAAAATGTATCCTTCGGATTATAATCAAAACAAAAATGCTGTGATCAGCCAGATTTACCTCACTGCTGTTTTAATAGGAAACTTGGTTTGGGCTAAGAAATGGATAATTAAACCCCATCAGTTAAATTATATAGAAAAATTCATTATAAAGGCTATGAAGAGATTGGGTGGCTGTAGATTTTCAAAGGAAGAATAATGTGTAGAAATTCTGTATCGAATTTGACATCTCTCTATTTTCTCACCAAAAATCTAACAAATATTTTTCTAAATTTGTTTTACTAAAACAATTTTACAGGTAGAAAAAATGTCTCTATAATATTAAGACACTCATTTTGTGGAGCCTCGTTTGAACAAAATATGGCTCTTGTTATGAATAATAACGGCTGGGTTTTATTTTTAACTCACACTGCAAAATATGGCAAGACATTTTCATCTTTAATCAGAACTGCACTACTCTGTAGTTATCATTTTTCAGATCCTGCATGCATATAAGTTAAAAACTACTTGCCATAAAAGTGTGTGGTAAAACATAAAGTAATTGCACAATTATATGACCATTTGGTTTACCATATTTCCATGACTAGCTGCTTTTTTTTGCAGTTGAACTGAAAAAAAAAATGTTGGCAAGAAAGCGTCCTGTTGTCAAGAAAGTCACTGTTGCATTGATTTGGTGTGGCTTGCTATAGCTGGATGACCTAATCTCCTAATTTTCTGCCGTTGTGAATAGAAAGCAATAGAAAATAAATGTGCACTCTCTTCTGGTTAAGAGAGGTGATCACCTGTGACCGACTTAAGCTTCACGCACACCAGTTCATACATGTACCATTACACCCCACTAAGTAATGACACTGATGCTTTGTTTATTTTTTACTTTGGCAACTCACTTCAATGATATGTAGTGTTTTTTTTGTTTTTCAGTACGATAAAACAGATCACTGTTTTATATTGTTTTATTGTAGCAAATACATATAATTTATACTTAGTTCAAGCTTTATATGTCGTCTTAAAAAATGTTTTAGCATTGTGGATATGGCTTTAGATAAAAAGTAGAATTGTGTAAAAATATATATTTTTAAACTACATATACAGTACAGACTGTTCTGTTTTTGGTTGTTTCTAAGTAAAAACAAAAAACAGCAGCAGATGTATGAAACTGGAAGACAACAACTTGTGACATCGTAAATGTTAACAATTTATTTTCTGTATTTTTGGATCAATCATTCAGTAAAGCCTTCTGCCAGTAGAAAATGGCTGTCACTCCTTCTTTCCTGATGCTACCTCCACCATGCTTTACTTCAGGTAATTGTTGTAGTAGAAGTTTTACTTTTACTTTCCTTTTTCCTATTAGAATAGCTTATTTAATCATCATGCATATGTGAAAAAATACAGCAGCTGCACCTGAACAGGACTTGGAAAAATAATATAAATATAAGTACTGCAACCCATATAAAAAAAGTTAATTTATGCAATAAAAAAGTAATTGCACATCTGTAAACACATTTTTATTGCACTGATATAAAGTCATATTTGGTCTCGGTTTAGGACTCACGGATAAAAGCTTTTTTATTTGTTAGTTCTGCTTCTTGTGGACCTGAACCACCTTCCACATGGCAGCTGGTTGAACAGATGGTTTCCAGACTGGAAGAAATCTGCCTGGATCTTTGGTGACCTGCTCAGACAGCTTTGGTAATATCCTCTGAGGGGCAGAGTGCAACCAATGATCTTCTCATCATCCTGGTTATCGTCTTCAGGGCTTTCTTGTCTGCAGCTGAGCGTGCAGCAAACCACCTTGTAGCATCGGACATCAGTAGTTTGTTTTCTAAGCTGTTCCGCTGCAGGAACTAAAGCCTCTTTGCTGCATGATGATTTACTTGTTTCTTTATTTACAAGGTTTCTCCATAGATTTATTAATACAAGGATTTCTATTATTACACCAAATCATTTTGTGTTGATGTTGTAGCTATAAATTTAATGCAAAAAAAATGAGGAAATAGCCAAACTATATATACAAATGGTTTATTTGAAGCAAACTGAACTCAGTTTTGTTTTAAAATGTAAAATGGAGGTATGGTGACAAGTTGGCTCACTTATAGACATTCTATTTCTATTTACTACTATAGACTAACAATATTCACCAAAAGTGAAGGTGATATTGTGGTGAAGACTTGAAACTCGTCATTTGAACCATACATTAGCCGTTTACTGTCTGTTTTAACTTCTTTATGCTTTCAACAAGAAAACTTCCATTGTAATTTTTTTCAGAAACATGAAAAGTAATACCCGCCAAACACCAGACGTCATTTAGACGGTGGTTTTTAGACTAAATCTGGTTGGTCCATCATAGGCAAGGCGAGGCAAATTTATTTGTATAGCACGATTCAGTACAAAGACAATGCAAAGTGCTTTACATGATTAAAATATAGGGAAATAAAATCACAGCAAGTAGGAAAAGAAAAAGTTTTTTTTTTGTTCATTAATTGTTTGTTGAAATTTGGGTTGTGTTTGTTCGTTTTGTTTTTTTCCGGTTTTGTTCCATTACCAAAGTTAAAAAAAAAAAAAAAAAAAGTTTTCAAGGTCAAGAATAAAACCCTGTTTAAAGGTAAAAAGTGGGAGAGATCCAGAGTTATCTCACAGCTTCAGCTACTACAGCTAGAAACCGCTGATTATGGCTGAAATCTTGGTGTGATATAGGACTCAGAACCGAACCTTCAGAGGCACAGAAAAGTATTTACCAGGTCAGCCTTTTATCACTTAAATATTTCCAGGATTAAAGGTCTAATGTCCAAGCAGGATCTAGAAAAACTCATCCATGCATTTATCTTTAGTAGAATTGATTACTGCAACAGGTTTGCCTAATAAGTCCATCAGACAGCTGCAGCTGATCCAAAACGCTGCTGCCCGTGTTCTCACTAAAACTCAGAAAGTAGAACACATGGAACCTGTTTGGAAGTCCTTCCACTGGCTCCCTGTAGCTCAGAGAATAGACTTTAAAATCCTTCTGTTAGTCTATAAATCACTGAATAGATCAACACCATAATACATAACAGATCTGTTGCCAGTGTATCAATGCCCCACACTATTGAGGTACCGTATTCTAGTTCAAGCCTACTCTGTGCACCCAGAACTAGAACCAAACATGAAAACTCAGCATATAGTTCCCTAAGCTCCACTTATCTGGAACAAACTTCCAGAAGACTGGAAAAGTCCTGAAAGCCTGAGATATTTCAATTCAAAGTTAAAACTCCATTTGTTTAAAGCTGCGTTTGTTAAACTGTTAAATGAGGTATTATTAGTTTAAGGTTGTGATCCAACTTTTTTTTTTTCTTTGTTTTTTTCTAATCTGTATTTTTTTTTTTCAGCTTCACTTTTTCTTATATTTTTTATCTAATTAATGCAAAGCACTTTAAATTGTCCATTTACTGAAAGGTGCTGTACAAGTAAACTTGCCCTGCCTTGGCAATAAAACACACCTGTTTGGTTTGACTTAGGCTAAAATAAGAGTACAATATGTCACAATAGGCCATTTAGTTAAATTATCAAGCATTCAGTCTGCTAAACCGATTTCTGCAGCGTTTTTAAATAGTTTACTGTAATTTAAGATACTGCATGTTGACTTGGCTTCCACTAGAGGGCACTACAACTCTATATTTAGCCATTCTTACAACGGATTGTTAAAAAACAAAAAAAAAAAAAAAAAAACTGTCCACTAATGGATGAATTAGGATCTTACCATCTGAATCTAACCCTCTAATTCTTAACTTAAGTGTCTTTGGTTTTATTTTAGTTTTTTATATGTATATGTCAACAAGTAATATACTATTTAGAATCATGTTTTCCTTTTTTTCCTCATTATGAAACAAGTCATTGTAAAATAAAGCTTTAATTCTATAAATATAGCTCTAGAATAACAGTTGGAGTTCTGGCAGAATGGACTGCAGTCCTTCTCTAAACCTCTAGGATGCAGTTTAGCTCCACCATTAGTCCGACTCCTCAGAGGAAGCTGTTTTCTAGTTCAGGGAATTGGTATCTGTGTGACACAAGTCATTAAATGTTTTACCTTTTTCTACCCATTGTTTAAAACATCTTTTCTTGGACTTGTTTTCTTCAAAGGCTTGATCTTATAGAATATTCATCATCATCATAACTTATTTTATGCAGAAAATATCAAATTCAAATATACAGTAGGTATGAATTAACATATATCAGGTTATGTTGCATGAAAAGAAGTGGGAAGAAGAAAACTTATTCTATTCCAACCGTCCTGCATGTATTACAATTCCTTCTTCAACCTTTTGTAGTCTGCTATAGTTTACCTTTTTGCTTGTTTACATATATCAAT